TTTGTCCGGTCAGGTCTTGGAAGACCGGAAGCTGTGGGGTTCATAAAAACATGTTCTTACTCAATATCAAGCCACGATTATTGTTTTTATTTTAAATCGTATAATATCGGACTTTTTTGCCGTCTGTGAGGAAAAGAAATGGGGCTCAGAGCCTCAGAATACTGAAATCTGTATTATTTAAATATTGTTTTCCTTCTAATTTGTTATTCTTTTCTAAATAACACACTGTTATTTACTCAACAATAACACACAATTATCGTTGTTTTTATTAATTTTTTTAATTCCATAATCTCGGGCTTTTCTGGCGTCCGTCAGGAACTGAATTTCAAAAATAAAAATAACCGGAAACAGACATAGGCCTATAAGGGACATTTCGAGCATCATTGCAATACACAGCGGGTGTTTCTCAATCTCGAGTAAAGCTGCTCCAGAGCCACTATTTCAAGCATACTACGTCATCGACTGCCGCCGAAGTACTGTTCCAATGTCCAGCATACTTGGAATTCTACCGAGCCCGACATACTTAGTTTGGAGAAATGTTGAGGCTGCACATGTGTAGACTCTGTGGTCTTAAAATCCCGACAATGCTTTGCGTACGGACCAATTTCCCCAAATCTGTGGCGGAAAATGTAAGGCGGGGCCTCTCATATGACGCACACCTACAAACTTGCTAGCCTGTTCCACTCTTTGTTTTCCGAATGCCAGGAAGTATTCTTGCCTCGCTTCTGAAGCAAGTGACTCGGAAGACATGTGCTACCAAACAAGCGTACTCGAGATTGAGAAACACCCAGCCACTGAACTGATTACCCAAGATCCTCAGCTATGGTTTAAGCTCGGTGATTGGATGTTTTAGCCGCAATGCACTTTGGGATATGGTGTTAATGCGATATGAAATCCGAAAAACATTTCGGAGTTTAGGATGGCCGAAGACACTACTGTACACTACCCATAATCCCCAGCTATCGTTTGGGACCACAATCCCCGTGATTAATCTTCAAGCTCTGGGATTGGATGTTGGAGTGGCAGTGCGCCAAGGTTACGCCGAGCGCCAAACAGTACTTTGAAATTGAACAAAACCACGGCAGACTATCCAAAACTGGATTAGCCCCCCCAGAAATACACATGCTGGCTATTGTGTTTCGCAAAATGTTCTATGGGACGTCTCTACTGGGAACGTTTTCATTATTACCACAATTAGAAGTGCACACAAGGTACGTACACAGCCATAATAACTTTTTATTTTTAGTGTAGGACACTTATGTATAACATCTGAAGATGTGTAGTTTTATTCATGTTTTCACATAATTGTACAGGATATTGCTATACTATTTCTCATGTTTTACTTCTACACAATAATATCTGTTTTGTAAAACAGACAGAAAGGTATGTCATTTAATGGCAAGCTATTGAAATTCTGAATCCATTGATGTGTCTTCCATCATCCAAAACCCCTGACTCTTTCAACTCAGTATTTACATTCTTATATTCAAAGAAAAAAAAAAGTCCTTTTTATATCAGCTGTGCACCGTTATGGTGTAAATATAACCTATCTACGAATTGGATCAAATATAAAAGTCAGCCAAATTAATGTTGATACTGCAAGGAGATGTATTGTGTGAAGAGAAATTGAAGATGTTGTTTAATTGCTGATATATTTATGATCCACGTCACGTATTCATGTTCCGTGGCATTTCTTCCAGTTTGTCTAGAAGTCTTCTAAGCTGTTCAACCCTGAGCCTGTTTTTCAGGTCTCGGGCTCGAAAGTGACATTCCCAGAACAAATGACCATAACTACACTTCTAAAAGGGTTAAATTAATAATCTTTGTTCTCAAAGTAATGATAAACCTGTCAGTTGGATGTAGAAAAAGTCAGAATCAATATAGATGTTTTTTATTTTAAAGACAATTCAGATTGAACATAGTTAACTGTAAATGATAGTGTCCGTTGTTGGAGTCTACCGGACCAGGTCCGTCCTCCACGCAGATCGTTTGGATATGGCTAGAGCGGGGTCGCTGTCCGGATCTGCCGAGGACCGTTTCTTAGTTCTGAGGGAAAAGGAATTGTGTCCTAGACACTATTCTCTGTTAGCTGTACAAAACTAGACTTTGCACTCCAATGGATTGTTTCTTCAAATAAGCACTTTATTACACAGTTCAACAAAGATACATCAATCTGATACTATACCACAAAGCGCCTTGGACTCCTTCTTGAGTTCTCACCGTGACAAGCTCGTCAGTGTAAGATCCCAGTTGAAGAGAGCCTCAAGTACTGAATACATCCTGCTTATATACTGTTCCTAGCGGAGCCCCCACCTTCGCTGCTTTCTTGTGGTGTAATCTGCCGTTGCTACCCTAGCAACTCTTAGGTTAGCCTTCGGCGCGCTTTTGTTACTTCCTTATTTGCTTTCACTCACTTCCTTATCTGGTTTCACTCACAAGACTGCCCTTGTGAACTGTTGCGCCTGCTTGGTGGGTGATTTAGTGTGAGAATAATGAGTTCTGCAACCTTGTGGCTTATCAGTTTGGACATAACAGGATGCCTCTGTTCTTAATCTGGTTGACCCCGCGTTTTTGTTGCACACAGTATTCACATAGTATATTTCCACTGAGGCTTCTCAGCAGTTGGACTTTAACACAGTACTGTACTTTTCCACTCAGACAGCTCAATGTCTTAGCTTTTCCATGATAGGCCCACTATATCTTATATTCACTGCCACATTTGCCTTATCTTTATCCTTCAATCCCCCTTTTGCCCCATTCTAATGATTGGGGCAACAAAACAACGCTATTGTTTATGTACATTTATGTCAGCTGTTTTAGGCTTCTGTCTCTCTTTCCCACATTCTGCCATACGGTGGTACTGGTGGTGCTGTCGGGAAAGTGTCCATTGCTGCCGCTTCTTCTTCGCCTTCTTCAATGTCTGGGTTGTTTTCTAAGGATAGCAAGGCGAGTTGTTGGCCCAGGGGAGTAGAAGGTGCTATGGCGGTACTAATTATTTTGTCCACCGTTGAGCGGATACATGGGATGCAGCAGCACCCGCACAAGGTCAAAATTGCTGCAAACACGGCCATTGATACCAATACTGAGGTGACCAGGGTTTTGTATTTACCGAACACTGACATCCATTCGTCCCATTTACCGTCGATACCAGATTGATCTTTCATGCGGGAGTTGAGGGTTTTCAGACCGTCCAGTGCTATTTGTAGAGTGCCATCTGCAGCGGTGTTGTTGGGAATGAAGGTGCAGCATTGCTCTCCGAACATTGCACATACTCCGCCTTTTTCTGCTAGGAGCATGTCTAGGGCCATTCTGTTTTGATAGGCCATGAGTGATGTGGCTTTCAATTGCTCACTAACTGCCTTGAGTCCGGCATGTGTGAGGTTTCCTAGGCGTTGGATATTATAATGAATGTAATTGATGCGGTCTGAGTTTTTATTGATGACACACCAGGGGCAGATGATGGATGTGAAGCCGTCCGCTACTTGATCGGCTATTTTGTAGTCACTTGGTACGCCCCGTGGTACCCCTATTGCGTCTATGTACGTTGGATCTGGGTCAATCACGGCTTCGCGTTTGACTCTGTTCGTAGTATGATAGGGGTATTGTTCTGCCAGGTTTGTTATGTCCCCTACTTTTAATTTGTAGGTTTTCACTGGTAGAAGCAAAGTGACCAGTGCACATAGACCACTGGCATTATATGGGACGCGATCGTGGAGTTGGTTGCCACCGCAGTGGAACCATATGTCTGCTCGGATTACACCACGTCCAAGTGTAGTTGGTGTCACTATGTGGTCGCAGAGAGTTTTGTTGAACCCCCCAGTGTTTCTGATTGTGGTGTGGAAACAGGTGTAATTCAACCTCGGAACTTTTGCAAAGAATAAGGGCTTTTTTAATTCCGCGTTGGCTAAAGGGAAGTAAACGTCGTATTTAGAGCAATTGTGTTGAGGGTTGTCTGTCCCCATTATTTCAGTGGCACACCTTAGTTCTACCGGGGCAGGAATTATGTGGAGCAGGGGTCTGGCTCCCATACAAACAAGGCAGTCATCGCCTGTGTCTAGCGCGGCTTGTTGTGCCATCAGTAACCAGTTGTTGCTGTTTGCTGTGTGTCCCGAGATTCCAGTTGCTGCTTGGAACTCTTGATCAGTTGTCCACTCCTTAGTGGAGTGGATCACCACCCCCTTTTGGACGGATTCTATGTCAGATTGTGGTCTTTTAATGCGACTGGACATGCATACGTATATAGATAATTGGGGGCTTGGCGATGTCTTGGGCCATAGATAAAAGGATGCGCAAGGGGGTTCATCTTTCTTGGGTTGGGGTACCCCCGTTAAGTCTAACTGTACTACGAGGCCAGATGAGGATTTTGCCAGGTGTACTCTTTACCTTACTTTTTTCGCTGTTCCTGTTGACGATGAACTCCAATCCGCCCCTGTCTCTCCCACCAAGTCGGTCCACGCTCGACCATAGCTATATCTTTCATTGGGATCGCCTTTTCCGAACCAAAAGTCTAGCGTCATGTACCATTGGTATTTGTTTCCCCACGACCCTCCTTTTTGGTTGAGTTCGTTTGACAAACTGGTGTACGGGATGAGGGTAGTGGTGCTTGAGTCCGAGGGTAGGCAAAGTGTCAGCGAGATGTGTCTCAATGCATCTTTCTGGTTACATTGGGTGAAATTTGCCGTATCTACTGTGCCGGCCACATTGCGGACGTGTCTAGTTAGGCTGTTTTTTGGAGGAGAAAAGGTATCTTGTGTAGTTTTATTTTGTGGGGAATTTGGATTATTACTTTGGTCAATGATTTGCCTCCCCCTTTCACCCACTATGATAATGATTATTCCAACAATAATGAAAAAACACAGTGTTAAGGCCAAGCAATAGAGGTGTTGGTTAGGTCCTGAGTTCTTCTTCATCTTTGTTTTTCTTGTAAAAGTTCTTTGGTGTATCAGTGTAGGTGAGTGTCTCTTATGTGGTGTGTGTATGTGATGCGTGTGGTGTACCGCCTACTTTGGGGGAGCGGTCCCTTGTTGTGCCTCCTCGCCGGCTGTTATCTCCTGGGCTGCCATTGGTTCCCCTGTTGTCTCCTCCTCCTCGGAAGAGGAGTCGATGTCCACACTTGGGGGTTGGGGGGCTTCGGTTGTTTGCCTGATGTTCAGTTGGCCTAGGTCCTGGATGGTGTCAGCGAGGGTCCTGGTAGGTGCTGGTGCTTCCACACACCTGCTCCAGTGGTACCACGTGTCTCCTTTTCCGTCTACTCTGACTGCATGATCTGTTCGCTGGGTTACCTTTAGTGGTTCAGAGAACCTTGGAGCACACCACTTGGGTTTGATCGTCTTCAGGCGGACATATTCAGCGTCCCTGCTGCCCTCAGCTTCCTCTGTGTGTCCTTTGGCTCTGGCTGCTGTGGATTAGTCCGCGAACTCTGCAACGAGGCATTTTAGTTGTTTATAGTAGGCCTGGTGCCCCACTTTGTCATACAGTTCCTTTGAAACCGTGGCTCCCGCCCCTGGGCCTGGAAACTGGTGCCCATGAGTCATTTCATATGGAGTGAACCCAGTGGTCCTGCAAATGGAACTTCCTGATAGCCAATAGGGCGAGAGGTAGTGCCTCCAACCATGTCATTCCTGTTTCTTCCATCGCCTTTGCTAGTTTCTGTTTTAGATTTAAGTTCATTCTCTCAACCTTTCCCTGTGATTGTGGATGATACACTGCTCCAAATCTGTGGTTTAGCCCAAGAGAGGCTTCCACCACCGCTAAATCGTGATTTTTGAAGTGGCTTCCATTGTCACTGCGAATCTTTTTGGGGAACCCGTGTCTTGGAATATAGGTTTGTACCAGGAAGTTGATTACAGACTGGCTGTCTTCTTTTGCACAGGGGATGGCTTCTGGCCACCCTGTGTAGGCATCCACAACCATGAGTATGTACCTCTTTCCCCTGTGTCTGTCTATCATGTCTGTATAGTCTATGACTATCTCCTCCCCTGCCATTGTTACTGCAGGAAACTTTCCCTCATGTGGTTTGATGGTGGCCCTCACATTGTAGCATCCACAAATACTGCATTCTTCAAGATTATTAGCTATTAAATCTGGTAGGTAAGGGTGCCACCAATGGGTCAGGGCCCTAACCATTTGGTTATTTCCTACGTGTGCCATTGAGTGTGCTTCCTTCATCATAGCTCTTACCCACCCTGGTGGGATCACTGGCCTCCCGTCTGGGGAGTACCAAATGTCATTTGCTCCCTTTCTTGCCCCTTTGTTTCTCCAGGCCGTTAGTTCTTGCGGGGAAGCTTTAGATTGTTCTTTAGCCAACTCCTCATCTGTTCTGGCTTCTAGTATTCCTTCTTGGGGAGCCCGTACAACCATTTGTGAGAATGTGGCTTCGTATCCGGCTGCCTGCTTGGCGGCCAGATCGGCGGCAGTGTTTCCATCGGTTAGGTACCCTGTGGTTTTGGAGTGTCCTTTGCATTTGATTACAGCTACTCTGTTGGGTTTCATGATAGCCTCCTCTAACGCCTTGATTTCGTGATAGTGTTTCACTGGTGTTCCTGTACTAGTTACGAATCCTGCCCTGAGCCATCTTTTTAGGTCGTGGTGCACTACCCCGTGTACGTATGCTGAGTCTGTGTACACATTGATGTCTTGATCTATTCCTTGGTTCAAAGCGGCGATTACGCCCTTTAGTTCAGCTAGTTGAGCTGACACTTTTCCTTTGATGGGGGAGCAGTCAATGTTTTCAAAAAGTCCTGTCTCATTACTTCGTCCTACCACAGCGTAGGCCCCTTTTAGGCCGTCCTGTGGGTGTCTGTAACAACATCCGTCAGTGAACATGTCTCTTGCCCCTGTTACTGGCGTTTCCTGCATGTCTGGGCGTATTTTTACATCCTGTACTACTTTTTCCTCACACCTGTGTGGGACTCCTTCTCCTGGTAAGTAGTCTGCCATGTTGGTGCCTTCATGTGTGTAGGTTATGTGTGGCTGTGTCAGAGACTTTTCTAACCTGGTCTGTCTTGCTGATGTCATGGTGAAGGCCGCTGAGTTGACTAGGGCTACAATGCTATGGCTTGTGAGCACTGTGAGTGGGTGTCTCATCACTATGTGTTGGATTTTCCTTAGTACTCTAGCCACTCCAGCTGCATGTCTGATGCATGGGGGTTCTTTTGCCTCTGCTGCATCTAGTGCTACGCTAGCATACAGCAAAACATTTCTGCCTGGACTCTGATCCCCCTTTTTCTGGAAAATTACGCCGTTTACAGTGTTTTCTTTTTCAGAAACATCTAAGAAGAAGGGGTGTTGATAGTCTGCTGAGGCCAGTGCGCATACTGTAGACATATCTTGCTTGAGAGTTATGAAAGCGTGTTCTGAGTCTGAGTCCCATTCTAGTTTGGCAGTCATGTTCCTATGCCCTTTCTCGTTTATCAGTGCTCTGAGTGGTGCTGTGCATAGTTTGTAGTCCGCTAAATACATACTGGAGTACCCACACAGGCCCAAAAAAGAGAGCATGTCTTTGACCAGTATTGGTTTTGGGTGGGCCAGTATTGAGTCCTGGTGGGTGGTGGACATTGCGGTGCCGTCTTCAGACAGCACTCTCCCTAAAAAGGTAACCTCCTTTCTGGCACATTGGATCTTTACTTTGGATGCTTTGAACCCTCTCTCGGCCAGTCGTGTTAGAACGGCTTGTGTGGCTTTTAGGCAGGAGTCTGCGTCAGGGCTGGCTAAGAGTAGGTCGTCTACATACTGTACCAGGATGGTGTCTTTGGGTAGGTCTAAGTCTTGTAGCTGTTCCCTTAACACTTTGTTAAATATTCCTGGGGACAGGTTGAATCCTTGTGGTAGTCTTGTGTACTGAAACCTGTGCCCTTTGTGAACGAATGAGAAGATGTGTCTTAGGTCTGTTGCCAGGGGAATGCAGAAAAATGCATTAGCTAAATCTATGACTGTGAAATGTCGGTGTCCTGGACCAATCTGGGCTATTGCCACATGTGGGTTTGGTACCGGAATGGGAGGTGTCGTGATTCTAGAGTTTATGCGTCTTAGGTCATGGGCCATTCGGTATGTCTTACCCCCTGCCTTCTTTACTGGGAGTATGGGAGTGTTCCACTGTAAGTCTGTTGAGTCTTCCAATACCCCTGATCTTATTAGTCCGTCTATGGTTTCATCAATACCCTCTTTCGCCGCTTGGGCCATAGGGTATTGGGGGGCGTAAACTAGTGGGTCAGCTGTGTATTGGAATCGCACTGGTTCGGCCAGGATGCAATGTCCTACGTCGTATGGATCTTTTGACCAAAGATGTCCTGGTAGTTTATCAAACATGCTCTGTGTGTCGGGATGGTCCTGTTTATCCATGTGGTGGTCTCTGACCACCGGGACTTCCTCATAGTTAATGCCTTCCTCTGATGAGTGTGAGATAGCATGTGCTTTGAGTGAGGGTGAGTATTCGACCTGTGGGATGTCTGTAGGTATCCAGTCTGTGGCTGTTTGGGCCTTTTTTACAAAGGGGCCCAATGATCTTGCTTCTGAGGCGGGGCCTAACAATAGGGTTATGTGGGGAACCGACTCTGGTCCCATTCTGTACCAGTAGTCTTGATCAAGGTCGAGGAATACTTCCGCTGCCACCCCTACTTCTGATATGAAAATTTTCCCTGTGCATACCCCATCAGTTTGGTCATACTTTTTGTCATCCCATTCTTCAGCAAACGTTTCGTCAAATGGTGAGCGAGAGTAGAAGAAGGTGACATGGGGAGGGTCTTTTGGGGGGCTGTAGGGATGTATGGCCTGTATCCAAGGTTTCCAAAGGGAGAACTTCCCATATAACGAATCTCTGGCCTTAGCCTCTTCCAGAGGGCGGGTCAGCAGACCCCAATATATGGTTGTTTCTTGGAAGGCCGCTGGACTACAGGATTGTGCTAACAACATCTGGGAATGCGATGATATGGTTGCAGAACAGTTATAGAATGCACCATTGGGGAATGTGACTTTCAATCCGTCTGGGGAGCACAAGATGGAGGCATTTGCTTTTATGAGGATGTCTCTTCCTAACAGGTTAGCTGGGCACTGGGGTGAGAGGAGGTATGGGTGTTGGAATGTCTGCCCAGCGATGCTAGATGGGAGTTTATGGGTAAGCGGAAGTTGTTCTATTTGTCCTGAAAACCCTACTACTGCCACTGTGTTGTGTGACGCCTGTGACTGGTACTTAGGGTCTTTTAGGGTAGAATACCTGGCCCCTGAATCCACCAAGAAAGGCAGTTGTTTGTCTAACACTGTGACAGGTATGAGTGGCTCCGCTAGGCCTCTCATAGTGGGGGTTCCTAGGACTCCCTATGTCATGTACTGGTCCTGGTCGTACTCATAATCTCCGAATACGGGACACTGTTGTGGAGGGGGTTGGGTTTGGGGAAATGCCGGTGGGGGTGCTTGTGGAGGTCCTGCTGGATAATAAACGCCTTGGGCCACCTGCTCCGGTTGGTAGCCCCCTCTTGACTGTTGTCCCCCTCGGCCAGGTCCTCCCCTTCCTCTGAATCCCCCTGCTTGTTGAGGTCTGGGATGTGCATAGGCCTTTACCGTACCTGCGTTCTTATCTGCTGTTAGGGCTCGGCAAGCTGCTATGTAATGCCCTGGTTTTCCACAATAGTGACAGCCGCCCTGAACTGCCGGTGCTGCTACTGGCGCGGCTACTAGGGGGGCTTGTGTGGCCGGGGTGGTTTTATTTGTTTCTTCCAGGCGGCCAGCGGCTGAGACCATGGCATATGAGGTCCTAATTAGTTGTTCTAGTTTTTCTTGTTGGTTTTGGTGTGCTTTCTTTTTGAGTGACCATCGCCCTGGGTATATGCTCTTGTGACGACAGAGCTCTTCTTCTAGCCCTTTGGTGGCTTTTTTGAACATTCCTTTCGTATCTTTCCCTCCTAACAACTCTCCTTTTGTATCCTTAGTTCTTTGTCTGTGTGCTGTCAGTATGCCATTATCTGTCAATTTTCGGTACAATTTTGCTACCCCTTTTTCCCATTTTTTGTGATCCTTTTTCTCAACTTCCTTTTGTCCTTCTTCCACCCATTCTTTCCAAACCTCGCGACGTACATCTGGGATTTTGAAGCCTAGTGCTTCTTCTCTCGCAAATTCGCCTTCCATTTTCTACTTTTCCTTATCTTTCTTTATTAGATTCTCTGGTTGCTAGCATCTTTTGCTAGTCTTCTACCTTTTCTTAGATACTAGGGCCTCGCCTAGTTTTACACTGTGCTATGGCTACTGGTACGGCGACCAGTTTTACACCTTCCTTAGATACTAGGGCCTTGCCTAGTTTTACACTGTACTATGGCTACTGGTACGGCGACCAGGTTTACACCTTCCTTAGATACTAGGGCCTTGCCTAGTTTTACACTGTGCTATGGCTACTGGTACGGCGACCAGTTTTACACCTTCCCTTTGGACCGCGGCGGATCCTCATAAATTACGGGTTTCACCCGCTTCTCACCACAGATTTGTTTATGCCCCTGTTGATCTATTTAGTGCACACAATTTTATTTACGTTTTATCTTTACTTTTTAGCTGAGACAATTATTTCTGCCATTTTCACACAATCCTAAAATGTAGTGGTATTTCAAACACATCTATTTGTTGTAACAGGCAGATGCTTACCTTGATTCTGAGTTACCCGGGTTTTTGATTGTGTGAGATGGTTTCTTGTAAAAGCCGTAAACTCAATGTTTTTTGGTGTCCTCTCAGAAGGTCATCGGTGTCCAGACTACCTGCTCTAGACCATCACGTCAGGGTCACCAAGCTGTTGGAGTCTACCGGACCAGGTCCGTCCTCCGCGCAGATCGTTTGGATATGGCTAGAGCGGGGTCGCTGTCCGGATCTGCCGATGACCGTTTCTTAGTTCTGAGGGAAAAGGAATTGTGTCCTAGACACTATTCTCTGTTAGCTGTACAAAACTAGACTTTGCACTCCAATGGATTGTTTCTTCAAATAAGCACTTTATTACACAGTTCAACAAAGATACATCAATCTGATACTATACCACAAAGCGCCTTGGACTCCTTCTTGAGTTCTCACCGTGACAAGCTCGTGAGTGTAAGATCCCAGTTGAAGAGAGCCTCGAGTACTGAATACATCCTGCTTATATACTGTTCCTAGCGGAGCCCCCACCTTCGCTGCTTTCTTGTGGTGTAATCTGCCGTTGCTACCCTAGCAACTCTTAGGTTAGCCTTCGGCGCGCTTTTGTTACTTCCTTATTTGCTTTCACTCACTTCCTTATCTGGTTTCACTCACAAGACTTCCCTTGTGAACTGTTGCGCCTGCTTGGTGGGTGATTTAGTGTGAGAATAATGAGTTCTGCAACCTTGTGGCTTATCAGTTTGGACATAACAGGATGCCTCTGTTCTTAATCTGGTTGACCCCGCGTTTTTGTTGCACACAGTATTCACATAGTATATTTCCACTGAGGCTTCTCAGCAGTTGGACTTTAACACAGTACTGTACTTTTCCACTCAGACAGCTCAATGTCTTAGCTTTTCCATGATAGGCCCACTATATCTTATATTCACTGCCACATTTGCCTTATCTTTATCCTTCACTGTCCAAAAATTATTTTTTACTTATAGTGAAAACTACCCTTGGATGATGGGTTAGTAGACTAAAAGCTTTAGGAATCCAAAGTACAACATATAATAAGTACCCTGTATCAAGCTTGATGCAAAACAAGTGAAATTTGACCTTTTTTAGAAGGATAACAAGGAAACGTGTGTTTTATTGTTGAGTAAATAACAGTGTGTTATTTAGAAAAGAATAACAAATCAGAAGGAAAAAAGATTTTAAAAAATACAGATTTCAGTATTCTGAGGCTCTGAGTCCCATTTATTTTCCTCACTGATGGCAAAAAAAGTCCGACATTATACGATTTAAAATTAAAAACAATAATTGTGGCTTGATATTGAGTAAGAACCATAGACTGTATATATAAAGAACATGTTTTTATGAACCCCACAGCTTCCGGTCTTCCAAGACCCGACCGGACAAAAATACGTGTTGCAGGCACGAAACATACTATCAATAGAAATACATTGCTTTTAAAATCGTTCTGTGTGACACGAAAAAAAGGGAAATTTGTGTTGAACACGAATCAATAGATTAAATGTTGTGACTATAACGGTACGTCCACACAGCAGCTTTAAACAAATCTTCCAACGCTTCTCTGCCCATTGACTTTGAATGGGGATGACGCATGGATGTATAATAAGAACTGGATACAGCGTGGGAGACGGGGCCTCATTCATTCCTATGAGAGTTGCTCATTAGCGCATGATGACAAAATGGCCCAACTTTTGAGAGAGCGAAACGTCACAGATTACCCGGCATGCCTGAGAAGTACCCGTATGTGCACTCAGAGCATGCGCAACTTTAACCACGCCGCCCAAAAGGCTCGTTCACATTAAGCACGTGAATTTGCGTACACGTAACAGCACCGCGCGTTCATGACAGCATGGTACTGGATTTATATTAACGAGGCGGCAGTTAGCAGCTAGCGGCTAGCTAGTAAATTATGCTAAGTTACACATCAATCGTTATGTACTTTTATATTACGCTGACATCAGGATCTAGTGATATCCAAGCAACAGAGCTTCATTTAGCATGATACTTGTGTGGGTTGTACATGAAACCACTTGGTAATATATACAAATGTATATGTTGAAGCCTGTTATGATCAATTGTGAGTTAAAACTTTATCTAAAAAGTAAAGCTGATGATGGATTACTGTGGTGGAGTTAAAATAACAATAGCCTATTTCTTTTTGAAATGTGATGGAGTAAAAGGATAGTAACTGTGATTATTCATGTTAAGTAGCCTACAAGTAACTAAAACAATTGCAAGTGCAATAAGAAGCTACAGGAACGTTAATCTACGTCGGTAATATTAACTTTATTTAATACAACATTTACGGTACAAGATTTACATCATACAGCCCATGTAGTATAATATTTTACAAATGATGAATTACAGCAAACATGTGCAATATATCCATTATTACAGCTCCGTGGGCTGGCAGTAAGGCGATATGGTCCGTTGTTATTGTGCATCCATGGGTAAAGAGAAATTCATGTAGTACTGAACACGTAACATGAACGTGCCGGGCGGCGCGGTCCCGTGGGTTAGATGCGCGTTCATAATGCAGAGGGAAATAACTCTCAGAATAACGTTATTAGCACATTTTTACAACTTGAGGACCGAATGTTTTTAATAAGGGCTATACAAACGTTCATATTGGGTAGTTTATTTAATTTAAAAAAAATTATCCAACGAGTTACAGACCACTCTTTCCCAATGTAAGTCAATGGGAAAAAGTGTTTCCGGGCCCAGCAACCAAAAGGAAGTGTATTACCGCCGTTTGACCAGCACGAATATTCTCATCAGACTCCGGCGCACTTCCTGGGGGCTTGGGATGACGTCACTTTGCCTCGCTTTTCGCCGAACTGCATTGTGGGGGAGCGAAGCAAAGATTTCCAGGATTTTCAGGATTCAAAAGTTGAGCAATGTTCAACTTTTGAAGCTGAGCTGGAAGCGTCAGCCAATCAAATCCCGTTTATGCAAATCTGACAGTAGAAGCGCTAGCCAATCAAACCGCGTGTAAGCAGGGAGAACCAGACCGCAGTTCATTTCCTCATATTCCAAACGAGAAATTACGGTAGCAAATCACCCGGTTCTTTACGACCAGAACTATTAACGGGATACAAACCGGAGGAACCAGGCATGGAGGTAGGTGGCAGAGACAGTGGGTGAAACTGGTACAGATGTAGCGCTCCATTTCAGACGCCAACCCATGCGGGTCCGTGATCGGCACTGGGTGGGCCCCTGCTGAAAAGTAAAACCCCCCCGCAGGATTTGAAACGCCCCCTTGATAAATACATTTAATTATAATGAAACCAGCTGCAATGGATCCACCAGGGGGAGCCGTGATTAAAAAGCTGCCACACTGGAACTCATGTGAAATAAACAGCTGATCTACAGGTATCTGATATCGCGGATATTTGTTAAGATCCATATGTCACGGATAGGATCATATTCTGTGCTAAATAAGAGACATGTAATCATTTACTAACCATCATCATGTTTTTATTTAACAAAATCATGTTTAATTCACGTTGGCGTAAGTACAAACCATCGCTATGTTTTTAGATCAGGAAATGCAGCCCGGCTCAAACAAACGATTTTCAATAATCATCCTCACGATCATTTAATGTATCATATGTTCGCGAATTGAAATGAATGCACTAATACATGTAGGGCAATTCACCCTACATTTAATCATTCAAACAAAAATTATATTTTGTTTATTTTTAACGAAATAAATGTGGTTTAATCCATCATGAAATGAATAGGCCTATCTATATATTTTATACTATACTTGTACTGCTTACCGTTTTCATACTTTATATATCTTAGCATATTCTCACACTGTTCATACTGCTCACAGGCTGATACAGTATCTAGTGTATTCATACCCCTCATATGATATTCTGTAGATTGTGTACATTACTTTTCACTTTACTGCTTGTTGCTCCTGGTTAGAAGCTAAACTGCATTTCGTTGTCTCAGTACCTGTAATATGTGCAATAACAATAAAGTTGAATCTAATCTTGAGCAGGAAAAAATGTATTTACTTAGTACATATCTGACATTAACGATTAAACACATTTGTGCATTCTTTATGAATGCAAACCGAGTCAAGCCGACTCCGGAGGAAATCATATTTCGTTTATTTTTAACGAAATAATCCACATAATTTACTGTGTTAATTCTTTACTGTAGTATTGTTTAACTTGAAGGTGGCTGATGTGAACATTTCCAGAATGTATTGTCTTACATTTTTTAATGCCCCTGTGATGTGCTGCTACCCATTTTCCCCCCGGGACTAATAAACAAATGTTGAAGGTCTATTGAATGGCCTTTGTATGTATTCAGTACAGTCTAGCCCAACCATTTACACCTTCCTTTTTCCCCGTCAAGAGTTTGAATTGGAGAAAGGTAATCGATGGTGCTTTTAAAGCCTATTGCATAATAACTGTGTGATTTATATTGCTTTTCAAATGCATGTGGCCACCCATTTACACTGCTCTTCCCGTCAAGAAGACTGTATGAATAGAACTTAGTTAGATCACTTTACATTTCTGCGAATTAATTTTTAATCACACACGTCTCCCCACCCCGAAAATAAAAAGAGGAAACTATTTTCAAGTTAAGTTTTCACTGAAAAGTCTATGTTAAAAAGCCTCAATCACCTTAATTCATGTAATAAAAACAAAAGCACATTGACTGATTTTGGACCCCCTCACTAGCCTACTTTAATTAAATGTTTGATAAGTGCATGCAGATCACAGTACAGCTCAAGAATACTGTATGAATATAAATTAGTTAGATCACTTTACATTTCTGCAAATTAATTTTTAATCACACACGTCTCCCCGTCCCGAAAATAATAAAGAAAATCAAAAGAGGAAACAATTTTCAAGTTCAGTTTTCAACGTTTTATTTAAAATAACTGACATAACACACACCATGCTGCAGCCTATCTGCTGCGGAAACCAGGACGAGCTATTTCGGGATCTGTTTTTCTGGGGCTCCTCAGTCTCTCGTTTACCCGGCTCCGGATCTTATGCCACTGGTCAATGTTCAGATTTGGGAACCGATTGGAAACATAGGACTCAATCTGTTGCTTCACATTGAGGGGAAGAGGCATTTTCCCATTGGTCCCAGTCCAGTTGGTTATTTTCACCATTCTCCCATATGTTACAAATGGCGTTATGGCCATGAACATATTAGCAGCATAGATCTCAGGGCGATGCTGTCCCTTAAAAAAGCTGTCCTGATAAAAACATTCCTCTCGTTCTGAGGAAACAGCCCTGGTGGGTTCATCAGGAGTGACCGCCGACCCTGGAGTGACCGCCAACCGTGCAGTGACCACTGGCACTGGAATGACCGGTGGCAATGGTGTTGCCGCCAACACCAGTATGGGAGTGAACGGGGTTGTCGCTTCTGGCTCCAGAGGCTGTGGGTCTTCTTCGCCCACATGGTACCCAAACAGTCTTCGCCTGGTTTGGTACAGGCTGGTGTCCAGCTGTTCCTGCTGTGCTGGTGGGGTCCCTCTTTCAATATTTGAAAGTATTTGAGAAAGAGTCTCTAGTGGAAGCCCGCTCTGACTCTGCAGTCTCCAGTGCCGACATAATGGAAGCCCGCTCTGACTCTGCAGTCTCCAGTGCCAACCTCATGGAGGCCCGCTCCTGAATCAGGGCGGACAATTGTGCCTCCGTTGCGGTCAAACGGATTTTAATAGTGCGGATTTCTGCGTCACCCAATCCAGCCGTGCATGTGGCAGACACCGGGAGCAGATTAAGTGTGATGGCCTGATAGGAAACAGAACAAAAATATGAATACCAGTGGTCACATGGAAATAAACAATATATTTTATAGCAGAGAGATGGTGTAAATATTAATGATTGACAATGAGGGATAATAGTACGTACCGCTTTCTTTTTAACTAGTCTGACTTTGCTTGCTTTTTTGAGCGCAGGGCTT